TAATAGCAATACTTTACACACACGAGAAACATATATAGTTTTATTCCAATATTTAATGACATACTTCCACATAAACGTATGGATATAAAATTATATATACACTAAAGAAATCAAACATGTGTTTGTACTTTGTAATGCATATGCATGCATCTTCTATATATAAACTGTTTACTATTACGAATTTGAAATCCTATTATTATTGATAAAATGTTATATGTATTTGGTTCAAAGCTAAAAAAAACTTTTTTTTTCTCTATTTACCATCTAAGATTTTTAATATTGGCAAAAAGTTTAATAATATTGTACTTTTAAGTATGAATAATTTTTGAAAATAGAAAAGTTTGTAGAAATAGAACAAATCAAGATTTAGAAAAATAGAAGTTTTCTATAAACAAACAAAAAAAAAGAAATTAACTTAAACTAAATGCTTTAAAAAAATTAGAAATTTTCTATTAACAATAAAAGAAAAAATAATTTAAATTTAAATATTTACTTGGCAATATGTTNNTTTAAATTCTACGTGGANAGNTTTAAGAGGNTANANCTTCAACTTTTAAAAGAGAATATACGTACCTCGACACCATTCTACACAATCCAAAAATTTCTTTTTGGCCAAATATCTTCGTTTGTATAGCCATGGCTATAAAACTAATGCAAGTTTATTAAAGTGTTTTAATTAATAGTAAATCTTTGCAAAAAAAGTGATTTTCAGAAACGTACCTTTGTGCTTTAAATATAAATTACCAAATTATAGTAACTACAAAATATAAGCATCAAAACAGAAAAAGAACACAAAGATATACATGAAAGATAATTATTACAAAAGGACATAGACATTAGTTTAATAAACCTAAATTTTGTTTCAAAAAAACTAATAAATACAATAACGTTATAAATTATGCATATTGATACTCCAACTCACTATGTATAATGCAACACATAGTTGGAGAATGGAACTAATATTTTTTATAATTTTTTTTTAAAATGGTTTGATATGTAAATATACGATTAAGTTTTCTTTTTAGCAGATATACATTTAATTTCCTTTTTAGCAAAATGTTATGACATCTATTTTCTTATTTTTGTAAATTGTTATGATACATTTTCCTTTTTTTCTGACACTAATAATGGAACAAATCAAGATTTAGGAAAATAGAAGTTTTCTGTTTGTAAAATAAAGTTTTCTATTTACAAACAAAACAAAAAAAGATAATTTATACTAAATGCTATAAAAGAATTGGAAGTTTTCTATTAACAACAAAAGAAAAATTAATTTAAATTTAAATATTGACATAACCTATCGCTATTGGTTGAATTAAATCATATTTGGACGCCTTTAGGAGTTTATAGCCTCAACTTTTATATAGTATAGACTAGAAAATGACCCGGACTACGCCTGGGTATGTGTTATAGATTTGTTTGCTAGTTTAGTATTCAATAAAATGGTATCATGATTTTTTTTTATCTTGTGGATCGAACAAAAATTTATATTTTTAATATAAAATTGATAAATTGATTATTTCACTTTAAGTATTTTCGTTGTTTAAGATTCAGAATTTATTCATGTGAAATATATGTACAAAATAACTATACAATTTAGTTGTTGGCGACATGTATTTTTGGTTACCTTATAACTCA